AAGAAATTTTGACACACTTATTTTGAAACTGACTCACTAAAATATTTTAGAAAGAGGAAAAGGTAATTTTTTAACTGACTCAAAAATAATTATTTTTATCCCTCAGAAATTAATTCGTTTGTGCAGAAAATATTGTCATCCTTACAAAGATTCCTAGACTTAAAAAATAAAGAAGTCTCGGAGTCTTCACTTCACTTCAAAAAAATCTGCGTAGGGGTGATCGTCGATTTGTATCACCGTAAACTTCTTGATACCCTTCTTTGCTTTTCTCGATACGAAAATAAATTTTCGATCAGCTTGAAATTAATCATCCTGTTTGTCATTCATCAAAACAAAAAATATTCCAAAAGAAATAGTAAAGGGGTTTGAACTCATGTCCAACAATTTCCACCTTTTTGATAATGACAAACATAGTTGAGAAAGAGCAAAGTAAGAGTTCAGAAATTACTTCTTTTTAAGAAAAATTTCCCTTGCAAGGTTAGAGAAGTGTAGTAAAAATAATCGGAGTAATAAGCGGAAAGAAGATTAAAAAATTTCTCAACTATCCTTCCTTCCCCCTTTTGGCATTATCAACCGATAACCTTCCCCCTTAAACAATGCCGGGATATTGAAGGAAGAAAAAAATTGGCAAGAGTTTTCTTTAAAAGAGAACTCTTAGTAAAAAAATGCCACAAAGGGACAATATGTTCTAAATAAGAACAATATTCCCAAACCAACAATGATATTAATACACAAGCAAAAAATTAATATCAACTAGCATCATCGAAAGGAACATCATCATCCACCAAAAGAGTCATAATAACATTAGCAAATAACAATGTATCATAATCAGTCAAGATGGAAAGAAAAAATAATAATCAAAGAGAGTTCGCCGGACGAGCTCCTCCGCCAAAACTGTGACGCGGGCCACGGTAGGAGCGAGATTGCTCAAGACGAGTCATCCTCTCGTTGAGCTGGCGAACGTCATCTCGGATGCACGTGAGAGTATCACAGATCTTCTTCACCCAAGAAGGTTCCGGTGCGTCTTCTCTTGGACGAGTCCTCCGTTGACGAGTGACGCGCTTCGTGGCTCGACTTCCTCCGGCTCGAGATGACTTTGCTTGAGTCTCGTTTTGGCTCTCTTCTTCTTCTTCTGCGACTATCAGGTCCAGATTTGGTGCAACATCGCCCTCCTCTCGATACACGATCCGGGAAAACTTGGCTTCAGTGATGAAACACGTCTTCTTGACCGGCACCTGAGTGTCCCGAGTGAAGTCTATTTTGCAATGAGCAAGAATATGCATAATGGGGATGGCAAAACGGAGATGGGAAAAACGAGTGCCATCGCTAAGTGCAACGATAAAGAAGTGAACCCAATCAAATTTGACATCGTTCAACAGGACGTGAAACAAACGAATATCGTCCTTGTTGACAACGCCATGGTTCGAATCACGGGGCAACAAGACATAGGAGAAGATGGTTAATCGATTAAGATGGACAGATCAGTCTAATCGATTAATTGAACAAAATTAATCGATTTAAAAGTGAATCAGCGCTAAAGACGTTTTCGGATTTTAATCGATTAAAAAAAGTCTGGGAAGAAGACATGGCGAAGAAGACGAAGACTGGGTGTGATATAAGGCAAAAATTGACTATTAATCGATTAAGCACAAGTATTTAATCGATTAGGGAACACAGCCGAGGCTAATCGATTAAATTAAGCTTATTATTCGATTAGAAGTAAGCAGAACCAAACGTCTCTTTTCAAGCTATTAATCGATTAAACAGAGATGGTTAATCGATTAAGATGGACAGATCAGTCTAATCGATTAATTGAACAAAATTAATCGATTTAAAAGTGAATCAGCGCTAAAGACGTTTTCGGATTTTAATTGATTAAAAAAAGTCCAGTAATCGATTAAGAGGGACAGAGGCGACTAATCGATTTCTCTTTGAGGAGTAATCGATTAAAACTTGTTTGAAAAAAAAAATCATCAAGTCGAATTCGGTTGAATACCAAGGCAAGAGATACCTTTTTCGTCCTTGTCGAGATAGCAAGAGGTGCTCATTGGTGTGTCAATGGATATGGATTCGGTAACATCGAATCTTTTAAGCAATTCCCTACAATATTTCGCTTGACACATGAAAGTTCCTTCTTTGCATTGTCTAATTTACAGCCCAAGGAAGAACTTTAATTCTCCCATCATCGACATTTCAAATTCACTTTCCATTATATCGGAAAATTCCCTGCACAAAACCTCGTTAGTAGCACCGAATATGATATCCTCTACGTAAACTTGAACCAAAAGGATGTCTTGGTTATCTTTCTTGATAAAAAGAGTAGTGTCGACTTGACCCCGTTTGAACTCATGGTCCAAAAGAAATTTGCTTAACCGTTCATACCAAGCACGAGGTGCTTGTTTGAGACCGTAAAGCGTCTTTTTAAGTTTGAAGACATATTCGGGAAACTCATAGTCTTCGAAACCCGGGGGTTGTTCGACATACACTTCCTCTTGAAAGATACCATTAAGGAAGGCACTTTTAACATCCATTTGATAAAGTTTAAAATCCATTGTAGATGCAAATGCAAGCAATAAACGAATAGCTTCTAAGCGTGCAACCGGTGCATAAGTTTCTTCATAATCAATGCCTTCTTCTTGATTGTAGCCTTTAGCTACAAGCCTAGCTTTGTTTCTAGTGATTATTCCATTTTCATCGAGTTTGTTACGAAACACCCATTTTGTGCTTATAACGGAATGATTATTAGGTCTAGGCACCAATTCCCAAACATCATTGTGTTTAAATTGGTTAAGCTCCTCTTGCATTGCCATAGACCAATGTTCATCATTAATAGCATCCAAAACGGTTGTTGGTTCAATTTGAGAAACAAAGGCCATGTGATTAATTGTGTTCCTAAGAGAATTACGAGTAGAAACTCCCTGCGTTATGTCACCAATGACATTGTCAATCGGGTGGTTCTTCAATGTTCTCCATTCCTTAGGAAGCTCCGTTTGTTCCTGCGTTTTCTCTTCTTCCGGTTCCTTTTCCTTAACGATTTCTTCTTCATCGTCATAAGAACCTGCAACATTATCAACAATA